CCGCCTCTGGCCCCCCGGCCGACCGAATGGAGCAGACCCCGCTTCCAGCCTGGAAACAACCGCTTCAGTGGCGGTCCTTCCTCTTTCTGGGCAGGACTGAGGTCACAGATGTGCTGAGGATGAGAGAGAGCTGGAGGTCCTGGGCCACAGGCATCACCGTTGCCCGCAGAGGGGCTCCTGGAAGGCTGGCAGCGGGAGCTGTGCTAGGCGGGCTTCCCAGAGAGGCCGACTCGAGCTGCCGTGCCTTTGCAGTGAGCAGGCGCAATCACAGGAGAGCCTCATGCAGACCAAACCCGGTTCCTGCTCCCTGCCTGCTGCCCGTATACCCATGCCGAGCCCCGCCTCCTGCCCGTATACACACGCGAACCCCTCCTCCTGCCCGTATACACACGCCAAGCCCTGCCTGCTGCCCGTATATACACACTGAGCCCCACCTGCTGCCCGTATACACACCCCAGCCCCGCCCCCTGCCCGTATACACACGCTGAGCCCCATCTCCTGCCCGTATACACACGCCGAGCCCCGCCTGCCGCCCGCGTACACACACCAGGCCCTGCCTGCTGCTGGTGTGCCCGCAGCGAGCCCCGCCTCCTGCCAGTGTACTTGGCGGCAAGCTTCTGGGCGCGGGCCACCAAGAGCAAGTGGCTGGTCCTGTGGGAGGGACGGCAGCTACAGGGAGTGGGGTTTGGAGATGACAGCGGAACCCCTTCCCTGAGCAGCCTGTGCCCAGCCATTAGCCTCCTCCCCTTTCTGGGCCCCAGTGGCCACCGCTGCAAAGCAGTGAGTAGCAAGGTGTGGCAGGTGGGTGTCCTTGCAAGTGCTGTTGGCTTTGGGTACCTAGAGGGCTGTGGCCGGCAGGTGGAGCAGTCAGGGCAGAGCCCCTTATGGGTTCCCTGTGCAGCCTCAAGTGGGCCGGAACCATGGTTGTCCACTTGCCGGAAGGCGCTGTTTCCAACCAAGCAGGTTCTGAGGACTGGAAGGTCATGAACCCCTCCAGCCCTTCCCCAGGAGAGGGAGGTTAGAATGGGCAGTTGCCTTCAGGGGCTAGAGCTGGAGAGATGCTTTCTCGTCTGCAATGCCTGGTGCTACCTCACGGGGGCGCGGGCGGAGCGGGCTTTACTGGACTCCCCTCCCCGACAGGTAAAAGCCAGGTGCTGTTGGAGACGGCGTGCTGAGGTTAGTCCTCACAGTGTCAGCCTGCAGAGACTGCAGGGCGAGCCCCCAGCTCATCTCAGGTGTCTGCCAGCCCGCACAGGGTTCAAGGAAGTTTATTGGACTCCAGAAACGGTTACATCCACACAGTGTTCTCCCGTCCACTTCCGGAGTGCAGGAAGTGCCACCTGGCACCACTGTCCCTAGGGACTAAGAGTAGCCGGCTTCCTGGAGCAGAGTGCAGTGGAGAAGCTCGCCCTACTCCTCTGTGGAGATGATCATTTGCATGCTTCATAAGCGAATTAGCCCATTGAGTCAGTTTCACTGTTTCCCGTGTTGCAAGTTCGATGTTAATATTGGAATTGCCGCTGCTCGCACAGCGTTCGGTGCCTTACTGCTGGGAGCGCTTTCCCACGAAGCTGTCGGTAGGGTGGCGGCCAGGGCCCTGTGTCCCAGTCATCTGTAAAGGTCAGCCGAGGGCCAGCCAGTGGCATGATAGTTGAGGTGCCTGGGTCTCATGGCTGGCTGCACAGTTTGAACCCAGAGCCTGGCAGCTAGGAAACATACCCACGCTTGTGCGTGAGTGTCCCAAATCCTGAGAGGAGAATGGAGGAAAAGGGATTGCAGAGTGCCCATTCTCCTGGGGAAGGATTTCTCACTTGACCTCACTCTGCAATTAAGTGTTTAAAAACCCTGTGTTGAAATAATAAACAGGAAAGTTGCAAAATTAACTCCTCCCCGGATTCCCAAATGTGAGCGGTTCCCAGCTTTTTCTCCCTCACCATCCTGGGGCCTCAGGGCCGCGTTCCCTGTGATGTCCCTGATCCCGCAGCGCCCTCCTGTGTTCTGGGACCCCGGCAGTTGGGACAGCGCAGCCTTGGGGACGAGCCTGTCCAGCTTTCCCGACCAGGTGCTCGGGCTGCGCGGGTACCTTTGTCCTCAGCCGGGCCTGTGCTCACCTGTGTGCGGGCTGGTGTCTGGGAGGGCACAGGGCAGGGCCCCGTTCTCAGACCCCCTTCTGTCAGGGCGGGAAGACAACCCTGCAGAGAAACCCGGGCTGCCGTCCGGGGCGGTGCCACACAGCCAGCTTGCAGCTGTGCCCTGCTCAGTCGGGGCAGGGCCGAGGCCTCCCCTGCAGCCTGCCGTTGTTGGATCCGGGCGCTCCTTTGGTACGGCCATGTCTGTCGCTTTGCCAACGCCTGCCTCCAGCCCCCAGCTCGCTGGCCGCCGCCCGTCTTCAGCCAGGGGAGCCTTCTCACCTCCTACTC